CCATATATTAAAAAACATGTGCTTTGCACAAGCACAAATAGTACTAAATACTAATGATGGTAAATATTTACATTTTTTGTATTTTTAAATCTCAAAAGATTTGAAAACTAAATGTTAATGATGTTAAATATTTTTGGTAATGTTCTTATGTTTCAATTTTACCAAATTTAATGTGTTAGTTGATATATTTTGAGCATATGATGCTTGAATGTTATTGTTTATATTTTCTAATAATTTTCATTATTTTTTAGGTCTTTTTATCTAACATTTTTTGCGCATCGGCCAATCTTGTGGTGCAAAGCTGTGATCAATGTGTATCAGTATCCTTAGAGTCGACAACCGAGACTATAACCTTGAACCATGGGTTACCTACCAGGTCTACAAGCCGCGTTTGGCAAATCATTGCTTTTCATTCTTTTTGAGGAGGCCTTTAGAATTTTCTTTACCTTGGTCATTGTTATTGTTTATGGTGTTTCATCTTGTTCTTCATGTTCTTGTTTTTTTCTACCGTTGTGGGTTTTTGAGATGAGCATGCCAAATTATAAAGAATTCTATTCTAGTGCAAGTTAATAGACATTACAAATGTAGACTGCTAAACTTAGCTTGTTCGAGCATTGGATGTTAAGACTTAACATCATAATGAATTTTGATGCTTTCATGGCATTTCATCTATCATCTTTCATAGTATTCAAAGCGGTCTTGTTCTTGAACAGAAAATATTGGGAAAACTTGCTCTTTACATGTCATTTGATGTTATGATAGAATGTGTAATTAAGCATAACTAGGAAAGGCAAATCCTTTGCACAAATTGCTTTTGCAATGAAGTGCCCTAAGTTGACTCCTTGAAATTGAGTGAGTGAGTCAAGTGCTCTTGAGGTGAGGTGTTGATTCCATCAAATTTTTGATCTCTAATCAACATCACAAACAACTTGGTTAAGAAGAATTTGTGGAGATATTGGTCAAAAACAAGAAGTGGGTATAGAAATTTGTTGCTACAATATATCAGCTATTGCTATGGTGAAGAATCCAATCAACTATGATAGTAACAAAACACATTGCCATCAAGTACCATTTCATCGGAGAAGCAGTGGAGAATGAAAAGACACAATTGCATTGCGTTTGGTATTCAATTAGGTGAGAATGGAATGGACTTGGGAATAGGATGCACATTACCATTCCAATGTTTGTCAATTATGTGGGATTAAGCCCTGAAATGGAATGCACATTCCATTCCCACGTTTGAATAAAATAATTTTTAGTGGCATTGAATGAAATTTGACCAAAATAAATATCTCAGTTAATGTGGGCACCATAGTTCTATAAAAAATACACCACCTAGTTTTGAAATTTGACAAATACACGATAAAACACACAATCAATTCACTCTTAAATAACCACATAACATTTTTCATGAAAAACATAATTAAACTCAATAACAAACATAATGGATAGAAGTAACATGAATACATAGTTTCAACGTCCTACCTTGTTTAGTGTTCCATAGACAAGAAATCTAAAAATATGTTCGTTTACCATGCATCGTCCTATATAATATGAATAAGTTCATTATCCAAACAAATATATCTCAGACATCACCCTTTAATATAGAGATGAGGGGGAGGTAAAAAGTGATTGGGAGACGAAGAGAGAACAGGTGGAATGCCATGGGCGTTGATGAGAGAAAAGGCTAATCGGGAAGAGATGAGAGTTGCAAGAGACGAGAGTGACCTATGTAGTGGTAAGAGGAAACGGGAAGCGAAAAAATGATCAGGCCTTTTTTCGTAGTTTGGGAATCAGAAATACTATTGTAGATTTGGTGAAGTTTGATCCCATCAGTTATGGGATTAGCTATTCCTTAGGAATGAGAATCAATTTTAATTCCCACCAACCAAACATAGGAATGAGCATTACTGAGTAACGTATATTCCATTCTCAAGGCTCAATACCATGTCCCAAATGCGTTATTAAAGTATTGAAAGTTTGAAGATCAATGGGCTGACATTCTCACCAAAGCTTTGGCCAAAGAAAGACTATAATATCTTCGCAATATGATCGGAGTGACACAAAAAATGCATTAAGGGTGAGTGTTGACAATAATGCATTTTTGACAACTATGCAAGATTTGATCACATGCTTAAAAGCAAGAACCGAGAATAAATCAAGAGTGTTTGTTCATTTCATTTCAATTCTATTGAGTTCCACAATAGTAACTCCATATATATGATCTACTTTATGGTTTTTGCTTATTATTCGACCAAATACCCAACATAATCGGACCCAAAAATATCGTACTCGTTGTGATACCAAAATATGGCAACAACTAAAGTCTCACAAGCTATGACCCTGGTATTCATCGGGGAAATACTATTTTTGAAAAATCAAAAGGAAGACTTTGTTGATGTCCAAAAGTCTATGAAATATTACCGAAATTGGTTATATACGGAGTCCAAAAATGAAGTTGAATTCAATGACAAGCACACAAAAGATGTCACTCCTCTACATTGAACAAGTTGTAACTGAATCAATTTTTTCGCTAATCATTGAACCCTCTAAAGCTAAAGAAGCATAGAAAATTCTACCGAAAGAATTCCAAAGCAATACGAAGGTAATAAGCATCAAACTTGAATACTCGAGAAAACAACTAGAAAATTTCAAGATGAAGGATTCAAAAAGAGATCTCTTGATATGGAAAGAGATTATCACTCCATATATCAAGTCTGGTAATTAGCTGAGCGATATTTTTACCAAGCCATTGGTTCAGTCTGCTTTCAGTTGTTTATGTTCCAAGCTGTAGGGCAACCTAACCTACACTGCTACACATTAGATTATTCTTTCCTTTCATGTTCACTTTTTCTCTTGCCTCCTTATCTTCTTCTTCTTCTTCCATCTTTCAAACCCTAATACTACTTTTTTAACTTTTACTAATTGACCTAAACACGACACGAAGTGGAAAATGAAATGATCATTGTTAAGCAATAAATGGGGCCATGGCGTAAGACATGAGTAAGTCGTTTAAGTGGCGTACTACAAGATGAAAAATGTGATTTATAAATTTTTTTTTTCATTTCTTGATTTAGTATTGTGTGAATTCTTTAAATTAGATGTCTTTTGATTTGGTTTTGTTTTTATCTGGATCAAGTAGTTTTTAATTGTGGGAGACTTATGTTTGATTGGTTTAGTTGACATGACCCGGAAAGGACACAACCTGGCTCGATTGACACCCTTAGTTGGATTCTTCTTCTTAGTCGTGACATCCACTTTTAAGGATTGACACTTACAAGATTTTTTTTTTTTTATTTACTTATTGCACTATTGCTTGACTTCTAGCTTTTTAAAGGAGAAGGATTTCCAACCCTTTAGCAGACTGCTTCTAGATAACCAAGCTTAGCTACTCCTTATCCCATTTACATAGATGATGGAAATTTTTGTCTGAACAGAAGTTTTTAGGATTAGCGTCATTTTTTGTATTACTTTTGTGGATGTGTAAAAGTTCCTAAATTCATTAATACTTGTAGTCTTGACTATATGAATTGGGAAAGTCCCAATATAAATCTGTTGCAGTTACGATCATAGGATTGGAGTTAGCCGCCACCATTGGAGTGCATTCACATTCATTCCATGTTTCACGTAGTCAACCTTACTTGAGTAAAAGTGAAACAACTTGAAGATAGCTTTGCCAAATGTATTTTGGCAAACTTGGTAGCCGTTCCTTGAGTGGCTTAAGGAGTCCCGACCTATATCAAGGATGCACTGATTAGTGTTTTGATGAAAAGTTTGCCTGGGCGAGAAGCAAAGCGAAGAGAGGTTCTATCGTCTTGAGCACCTCAGGCGAAGCGAATGTGACTGAAGTAAAGAAAAAGCGAGAAAAGCGAGTGCCTAGCGAGAAAAGCGAGTGCCTTAGTCATGCAAGGCGAGGTTGTCTTGAATTATTTTATTTTTATTATGGACCGTTGGATTAGGCAATTAGAAAAAAATTATAAGATGCACATACACCCAATTACCCCCTTATCCTATAAATACAACACTCAAATCCTAATTTAGCTTAAAGGGTCAGACGACGAGTGCTAGGTGCTGCTGCTCCTTCCTCGCTGGTTAGAGACGATGACTGTTGTTGCTGTTCCTTCCTCGCTGGTCCACACACAGGTTTGTCTGCTTCTCTTTTTCTTCTCTCTTTTGTTTATCTTCTTCTTGCTTTTAGTTCTGATTCTCTTCTTTTTATTCACTTCTGGTTTTGGTTTTGGTCCTCGTTGGTCCACACTAGTTCCGTTTCTCTTCTTCTTCTTCTCTCTATTTGATGCTGGAATTTTTTGTAAATGCATATTTTGCTGATTCTGTTCTTTTTTTTTTTTTTTTCTACTTCTACTTCTGTTGCTTTTTTCTGCTTCTGCTTCTGCTGTTTTTTTCTACTTCTGATTTTGTATAGCTGATGATTCTGATTTTCTGTAATATTATTTTAATGATAGTAGTGCTGATTTTCTGTAAAGATGAATGCTGATTTTCTGTAATCTTGATGCTAATTTTCTATAATGCTTAATGTTGATTTTCTGTAATCCTAAATGCTGATTTTATGTAATGCTGAATGCTGATTTTTTGTAATGATGAATGCTGATTTTCTATAATCCTTATTTTTTTTGTAACGCATTTTAACTTGGTGATTTCGCTGGTAGTAGTGCTTGTTTCATTAGTAGTGTGATAGTGCTGATTTTTTTGATTTCCAGTACTGTTTTGTTCCTTTGATTGTAGTGTGATAGTGTCATTTATAAACAAATAAATGACAAATTATTGTTTGAATTTAAATATTTAAGTTATGATTATTATTAAAATTTGAGATATTATGAGGGTTTGTTTTAATTTAAATGTTTATGGTTTTACTTGCATTTAAATATTTAGTATATAAAATTAGAACTCAGATGTTTAGAAGTAATTAAACTAAAATATTTATTTTTTTTTAATTGTTCACTTCGCTTTGTTAAAACATTTCATTTCGCATCTCGCTTCTTGCCTAGACTTTAGGAGCCTTGGTCATTTCGGTTCGCTTTGTCTTAAATAACACTAACACTAACTAGTACCCATGAGGCAACATTGGTGTGATTTTCTTGAAGATTTGGCTGCTTCTAGATATCCGGTAAACTACAACGAAAGTGAAATGGGTGTTTCCCTTTGAGAAAAATGAAACCTCTTTGGGAAGTCAGTATCACTTATCTAATCAGTGCAGAAACTAAATATCTATATCAGTCACTAATCTTGTAATAATAAGAATGGCATTTTGAAGAGCTCTTTTTTTCTTCAGTGTATTTTGGTAGTCAATTAAGCTTGAATGCAGTGCAGTAGGCTGCCTTCTTGACAAGCTGCTTTCTTCAAACTACATTTCTGACCTTCTGTAGCATTGATAACAGCTGATTCCATGGAGATGAATAAAGGCTCTTGTACTTCAGAAAACAAGGAAGTGCCATATTTTAGGGGCCACTCTCAAATATGCTAATTTATGTAAAATTTACATTTTAAGGTAAAGTTTAACTGTAATATTGCTTGATGGGTGTTATTTGTTGTCACCACTGGATTCACTCTTCATAAAATAGGAGGTTAGGGTATCCCATATTTTGGCATCTTGTCTTCTACTTGTCATACTCAAGAATGTCTGCAGGTTTCAGTAGTTCGATCATTTCTCTCATGTTTTTGGAACAGATATGCAAAACTAACTTGAACTGTCTTTGCAATGCGACAGATAGGTTTGAAACTCTAGTACACCACTCTCTCTATTTCTCCCCCTGTGACTGTGCATTCATCTGCGTGTCTGCTTGTGCATGTGTCATCTAAAAAACTTGAAACATAGAAACCTTCTGAACCAATACATATGAGGGTATCAACTAATTATGTGTTTTGGCATTCAGGTAAGGACTTGTATTCACGCAACCTCAAATTGCTCGTACCTTTCTTTGACTATCCGTCAATTGAGTTACGAATGATAGAGAAGGTAATCATTTGGTATCGAGTGCAGTTACAATTTTGATAAACTCCAACAGCTTACCTGTTTGCAGAAATCAGAGCTATTGTTGTTAAGGTTGGAATATATTGCCACGTATGCAGCTTTAATTGAGCTAGAGGTTGAGAATATGTTTTCTTCACCATTCCAGATGGACTATGTTAATCATCAACTCTAATATCCAAGGGTTATATTTCATTGTCAAAATAATTTATCATGCCTAGTATTGGTTGTCATTTCATTGTTTGCATTTGATTAGGATTTTCATATACCGGGATTTTCGGCATTAGGTTTTTTTATTTACTTATGTAGAGTTATATCTATTTTGTCATATATATGCATGCAACTTATGAATGTATACTAAAGAAGTCATACATTAAAAAGTTGTGGAGTACCAAGTGTAAAATGCATAAAAAAAGAATATATGTTTTATGCTCCGCTTCAACAAATGAAAGTTTTCGTTGGAACGGGTGAATCATGTGAGCTAGTTAGATGGATGCGATAAAGGGCTTGTAGTACCTACTAGCTCAACTATGCAGTGGAAGGGAAGGAGCCTAAATCAACCCCTTTCTTTTGTAGTACTCCCTTGCTTGACCATACAGTCCATTGCACTTGTCCGGATATTTATTATGTTTTTCATATTGTCAGTTAATTTGTTGCCTCACCCACCACTGTTTAGTGGACTGTTGCTTTTTGTATTCTTCGATATCTTCGAGATGATCTGCATCAGAGTTTGTTATTTTCCTCCTCCTCTCCTATGGAACTCATGGTTTATTCTAATGTTGACTGGGCTGGTGAGTCTATGAATCGTAAGTCTACCGCTGGCTTCTGCTTTTTTCTCGCTGATTCTCTTATTTCCTGAAAAAACAAGAAGCAAACTGTTGTTGCTCATTCCTCTGCTGAAATTGAATATCGTGCTATGACATCTACGACAGTTGAGATAGTTTGGTTATGATGACTTCTTGCTAATCTTGACATCTTGTTATTTGCGTTGATTCCTATGCATTGTGACAATACTGTTGCTATTCAGATTGCTCATAACTCAATCTTTCATGAGTGCACAAAACATATTGAGATTAATTCTCATTTTGTGTGCCATCATCTTTAGATGGGGACCATCTCTCTTTCTTTTCTATCTTCAACTACGCAATTAGCGAATTTTTTTACAAAATCTCATATCATTGCCCGTTTTCACTTTCTTAGGAACTTTTGATGTTTTCTACTACCACATCATCATTATTATTAGTATTAGTATTACTGGTAGTTTAGTGATTCTCTTATTTTATGTTTTCCTACTATATAAGGGCCTCGATTGTGTATCTAATTAGTTATGTTTTGATAGATTAATGTAGTTGTAATATATTTTTCCCTTTTCTTTCTTTCTCTTCTTTGTTTGATCAATATTATCAATACCGACTTACAATGTGCTTCAATTGCAGGGTATTGATTCTAAGACACAATTTATATTGGCATCATGGAAACTAAGGTGCTTAGTCTTATCTAGTGTCTGTTTTGTAACTTCAGGTTGCTCTTTTTTTTATCTAATTTCCTCTTTATATACGGTCAATGTGAGAATTTATTGTAAGATGATTTGTAACTTTCTTTTCCTACACAAAGGATCTGCATCCCAAGGACCACTGATGGGGCATTGTTGGATCTGCATCTAGTTAGATTTATGGTTTTATCTACATTCAGACTTTCCATTTGCAACTCCCTAAAATCTTCCAGTTGAAATAGCTGTTTTTCAGAACGCCATTTAAAGTATTAAATGCATAATTTCTTTATGAGATTAATCATGCCTCTTTTTGATAAAGGGTGATGGTGAAGGTTTGCAGCTTGAGTTTTTCTTGATTCTAGTACTTGATTTATGGACATCCATTTGCAATAAATCTGATCAGTGGTATTCATTGCCCAAATATCAAAGCCATGGGATATGCATGGCATCGATGATGCGTGAAGGAGTAGGAGTTGCGGTCAGTGAACACCTCTCTATCAATGAGATCATGTTCCAGCAATTGCTGCTGTATACACAATTCGACTATACTATTATTTCACCAAACTAGGTGTTCCATCTCTGAAGCAAATATGTTCAAACAGTAACTACTAATTGGTCATCAGTTGATCTTTATTCATTGGAAAGAATATTAAGCTGTTTACAGATTTGCTAGAGAACATTAACTTAGATTATTTCTTCTGTAATATCCTTATTTATGACTAGCAATGGGTGTGTCCTATTTTTATGTCTGAAATATGGTCCTATCTGATTTGCAGGACCTACCTCAAACTTCCCTGGAGGCCTCTCATTTCCATTGATGGAAGAACAGTCTATGATTTAAATAATGAATTCAAAGTAAGAAAAATAGGAATTTCTTGTGGTCAATTGTACAAATCTTAGCATTTTGCGTGATTTTGAGATGCATATTCACTCTTCACCACATAACTTTTATCAATTCAACAGATTGTTAGGCATTCTGAGAGTTGGAACATTTCTGCGCTTGAAGCAATTGGCCAGATATTTACACCCAGTTCTCATAGGCCTGGAGGATGAAGTCTAGATGTATATATTACAAATTTCAAGCTTTTGGTGCTGACTTGATTTTTAAGTTAAATCTTTCATTAGAATCTGCTGTAAAAACTATCTACATCTCAAATTAACAACCCCATTTTTCACAATTTGTTTGCCAGGAATGGTGTTAGGACTTTACTGATTTGCAGCTACAGTTGCAGGGCTGCCTTCCCTTCAGTCTTGTATTAATCAAATTCAATTGCTGAAACTCTGGTTGAGCAGATGTCAATTGGTTCAACCTTTATGAGTATATATGACTTACATGTCTGACTTGCCAGTGAACTGCCTTGTATAAGTGTAGGTTCCGACTTGTGTTGGATTGTGCGGGTGTTGTTTGTCTAATTGTCTATGATTTGCAGCATTTTTGTTATAAAAAGAGATACAGAGAATGACTTGCAAGGGGAGTCAGATTTCTTTCTTTTTGATGTAACTCCCTAACTGTGGCATCTATATTGGCTACTTCTTCCTCTTCTCCACCACTATGAATTTGAGCAACTCCCTCCACCCACGTGGCCACAAGCCCTAACCCTAAAATCCATTGCCCTTGGGGTTTCTTCAGTGTTAGTCAAGACTATATGCAGTGACCTAAAGCCTTCAGTAAGAGCCTTATAGATTGCTTACTCTATTTTTGGTGCTATGGAAATGACGCAATATCATCTTACAAAAGCTAAATTGGCAAGGTCCATACTTGATACAGGTTTAAGAGCATCAGAATCCTCCAACATCACCAGGTCTTCAAGCTGTTTCTTCCCCAAGTCAGCAAGACAAATATGCACATTAAATTTTCCTCCCTCAATGTGTTTTATCCTGCTGTCATTGCGCTTGATAAGGTGTGGACAGTTCTCTAGTTTCAGTGATCTGTATGGGTGGGAAGGTTGTATGCCTCATGGGAATCTGTATCCAGTATGGCCTTGACCCTTTTTATCTTGAACTATCTCCGGATCAATGTAGATTTCCCAAAGTTCAGCTATGATGCTGGTGATGGGTTGATTTTCCCTAGGAATCTTGCGATCCAGTAGCCTCTGTCATCTCTTTAAGACTACCAATTCCCGCTTGAACGTGATTTCCATTTAAGCATCCATCTGTATTCATTTTAAACCAACTTGGAGGTAGAAAAACATGGTGAATTAGTTTTTTGTTTTCCCGCTTACTCTCACTTGCATATTTAACTTCTGAAATGCTCTTGAAATTTCTTTTGCTAGGTTTCATGCAGTCTTTGCAACTAATATGATGGTATGACTATACTATCAATGCACTCCCTATTTCTATCATTCCTATTACTCCAAGTGATGGATAGAATCATCTGATGCCATGGCATCTCTCTCTATTTATCTTGGTTTTTCCTTGCAGTTTCCTTTAGTGAAGATATTTAATGGCTTTCAATAAAGATGCTCTATTATAATCTCTCAGCCTTGTAGCAGTCCGTTAGTTAGATATGAAGTTTGTTTCATGTGGAACAAGACTGCAAGACCTTATCTTTCAAACAAATCTCTTGTAACAATTTCTGTGATTGCATTCAGTTAGTTGGTTGTTCAAGGCATATGCATTGTACAAATAAGGGTGCACAAGCATTGAATTACGGTGCCAAGGTTGTAAGTAGGGCTCGAATGAGTGGTGGGTCCATGGTGCCAAGCCAACATGGTGACGAAAGCGCTTGTTTCTATCTATGAATAATGCTCCCCATATCTGAAATCAATAACGTGGACATGGATGGTGCTGTACAGCATGGCTTGTAAGCATGACTGCTGCAAAAACGGAGAGGAGAGAATCTTCCATATTCAAATGTCAGACGATTTTAACGGCGACCGAATTTGGCTTGCTTCAAATTATGCTGTCTATGCTTGGACTATCTTTAACCATGACTCAAATTTAAGTTAGTATTTGAGTAAAAAGCTTGATTTGATATAAAATGTTTCAATGGACAAATTCAAATTTAAAGAAGGAGAAACTTAAATTTAAATGAGGGCAAATCCAAAATTAAATAAGAGTAAAAATGACCATTGAATCTTTAAAAGATGGTGAAATCTCACAATTAAAGGTTTGGGTAAGGATTTGAGTCTCCTTTAATTTTAGTAAAAAAAAAAAAAGTTTCTATTGATTTGATATAAGTTTAAGTAAGGGTTGTAGCAAATTTTTTAGATTTTTTTACTTAAATTTAAATTTGAGTCAGGGTTGGAGATATCCTTAGTGCAAGATATGCAAAACCAAACTTGAGTTGAGTTTTATCAAGAATCTAGAAGTACAATTGAACACGCACTGAATTTGATCATGTTACAATTAGACCGAATCGAGCTTAAACAGCTATGTGTTTAGCTTGACTTGCTTTATTTTCACCATTATTCTTCGACTTCGAGTGTCAGCCTAAGTCCGATTGGTTCATTACACTGTTAAAGCCGTCCCATTTTGGCTATGTCCGATTGGTTCATTATTCTTGTAAGAAATTACAAATTTTGGTATAGGAATATATTTCTGCAATATAAAATGCGCTGCCATCCATAAGATTTTCAAATTTTTGTGGTTGAAATTTTCACAGCCTGAAACATTCCCTTGTGAATAGGAAACACACAAGAGAGAACATTCCCTTGTAAGGGGCCAAGGGAAAAAAAAAATTCCCTTGTAATCTATATAATAAGATGATGAGTCCTCAAAATTTTACACACCTAACACACACTTTCCTCTCAAATTTTACAAATCCACCACAGAGTTGCGCACACATACACACTCATTATATACACACTTTAGTTGTACATGCACAATATCATAGCTCAGTATACAGTGACTTTAGTTACGGAGTATCACTAGTACAACAATACTATGTCTATTCAAAATTTTATCAAGATTTGGATCCCAAATCAATTCGAATCATAAGATTAGTTAGACTTAATGTGCGCGGTGATTTTCGCACAATAAATAAAAAGGACAGATCTCTTCTTTGATGAACACAGGGTTTATCTTGAAGTCGAGGATCCCGAAGCAAAAGGGAGTGAAAAAGGTACTAAGGAGTGGTGATGAATGATTTTTCTGGCTGTCCATGTGAAGGAATCTGCCACTCACAACAAAGAGTTAAAAATGGCGTCAAAGTGTTTTCTAGCGTATTCCCTTCGACAGTTAAGTCAGTCTTTGAGAGAGGGGAGGGAGTCAACACTGTTCTATTGCATGGAATGGATTTTGCGTACTTTCTTTCCATTGGCCTATTTGGAAGGCAGCAAGTGGAGGTGAACAGTCCTTGGGCAGAACGCCTTCTGTCTCACTTGGGAAGTCAATCAGCATTAAATGCTTGGGCCCCCGAGCACTAAATGCCCTTCCATCAAGGCTCTTCGGGCGATAAACACGTCTCATCCACCTGAAGGATCATTGAATGCTCTTCTTTGATGGTTGTGCACCAACGAAGGCATTATTGACCATTGCCCCCCCCTAACTCTGTACTTTGTGCCACATGTCCAATTCCCTTTGGTTGCTAGTCATGTCTTTTCTGTCGTCCTGACTTCTTTGGGAAAGAAAGCTTAATGATTCATTGTCTAACTCTGACTTTGATAAGCTGTAATTGTCAATAATTCACCTTGTGGCTGAGGTGATGTGTCTGAAAATAGACCTTGGGATCTAATAACACCGAGGACATGTGTCAAAGTCCTAGCGTTCTGAGAGTTCATACACTGAGGAGATGTGTCCTCCTTCGAATGTTAGAGGTGTCTTCGGTGCCGAGGACAAGTGTACAATCCGGGTAAATTTGAATTTTTTATAAAAAAGGACAAAATGATAATTTGTTATTTTCAGTATGAAGTGAAAACTTGAATTTTTTTAGAACTCAGATGATGAAACGGACCTTATAGTTGGATTCGTCTCGCGAAATCTAGTTACCTAGACAAATTTTGTCAAATTCTGAGATAGTCAGGTTTTTTACATTTTACAAAGTGGTTAGGTCTCAGGTGACCGAGAAAACGAAATTTTTAATAAAATTTTGAAAGTTGAAAAATAATTTAAAGTAAGTTGAAATAAAAATATTTTGAACTTGAATTAGGGTAAAATTTAATAGTTTCGGGGCTAAAACGGACCCGAAAAATGAGCGCGTGTGGCGCGTTGTGGACCAAGTGTTGGAAATGTATAAATAGGAAAGAAAATCAGATTTTCTACTCTTATTTTGTTGGGTTCTCACGTTGGAGAGGAAGAGAGGAAAAAAGAGAAAGCTTTCTACCTTCTCTCTACGATCTACGAAGATTGGTTGCTCGAATCAACTCGGGCCAAGAACAAAGGTTATTCTAAGCGTCGAGGGCTATGCGACTATACCTAAAAGCGCGAATTTCATCGAAAACCCAAAAAACGGGATTTTGGGGAAATTCAAGGTTAAGACTTCTTGGAAGTTCTTAAAGACTTTCTACTTCGATTTTTATGCTCCAAGAGATAGGATTTTCTCCCTAATTAGGTTTATTTCTAATTTAAGGTATTTATATGAGATAGGTAGATTGATAGAATTATTTATCACTTGCCTATTATTGTAAATTGATGAAATTGGGCATTGAAAATGAATAAATTTAATTCTAGTGTGAATTGGTGATTAGAAATTGCTAAGTATGTAATTTCTTGGCAAAATGTGATTTGTGGGCATATTATGTGTTTACATTATGCCTTGATGAATTTAGTTTGTTAATTGTATGATTATGTGATGACATACTTGGAAATTGTATTGAAAGAAATGTTGATATATGCTTATGATATATTGACAATTGATGGATTATAAAAATTATATATTTAGGATGTAATTATCCATGGTATGTGTTGAAACTGTTCATATAACATTCATTACATATTGAACATGGTAATAGTCTTGCAATGGTGTATTACATTACATTTGCACGAGAACATCACATTCGAGGACATCGACATGGGTGTGGGTGTGTGTGCATGTGTTGGATCAAACATCATCGTTGGTGGGTGATAAGTGAGTTTGTTACTGTTGGACCAAGGCTCAACAGAATCGCACGGTTGTGTAAAAAAGAAAACTTGTATCGGGTATAACAAGAAGGGCTAGATACTCTCTTAGATGCAAGACACAACTATTGGTTTATACATTTCCATTGGTGCAAGTCTAAAAAAGTATATAGGTGTGTAAAACCGGTAGTGAGACACCAAAACTTCGCTACCTAACAAATACACATAATTTTGTTTTGTAAAGATATAGCCATTAAATGTGCAACATCAATGGCAAATTTATTACACATTGGGATTGAATTGTGTAGTGGGAGCTGATGAAGGATCGGGTTATAGTGCATGAGTGAGTCTCATTTCATTTCATGGCATAGCATGCTAGAATTCCAACATTGAATTGCATATTCTTGTTTGGGATGATTGTTGCTTGTTAAATGTTACATGTAAATATTTCATATGCACTTAGGTTGGGGAGTATCCTCTTTAGGAGATACTCTGTTGAGTCTGGCTCACCCTTTATGGAAAAAATATTTTAGGTGCGGGCTAT